CTTAAGAAATAATAGTGAGCAACACATACATACAGCTAGTACTCTCTAAAATTTGTGGAGTGAAAGTACTGCCATGGAGTGAAATGTTCACCCTATTGGCGTGAATATTTCCTCCAACAGAGTGAATATTGACTCCGATGGAGTGAACATTTCACTCCATGGCAGTATTTTCACTCCACAAATTTTAGAGAGTACGTGTAGTATGTGTGTTGCTCACTATTATTTTTTATTAGACTTACAAACTTAGTTTCAGTGATGTCATATTGTTCTTTAATTTAGCCGGAATAGCAAGCTGCTTTCGATCATCTGTACACGTGACATTTAATTTGTGTATTACACAAATCTTTCCACGAAATAGATAGTTTTAAGTGCAAAAGGTGCGAAAGTGCAGAATCACTCCAGCATCCTTTATGATTAGAATATTAGAATTTGTCAGTTGTGTCGATTATTAATTTCTCCTACATTGGTTAATTATTTACTGGCGACAACAAGTCTTCATTCTTATTATAATTTAACATTAATATTATATGTATATATTCTTATGTTGTAAGAGAGAATGTCTCTTAGTATTTCTCGAAAAATACAGGGATTTTAGCGCTATGTACTTTCTAAAATTATTTACATAGTTTATTTTTCATTCTTAATAAAACTTTTAAAAATTTAACTTGAAAATTATAGATATTTTTATATTGTCATTATGAAAAAAAGTGCTTCCTAAATAGCCAGCGTAGGAAGTTACAACGAAATATAAAGCTCTACAATGTACAGTGCAATAATTATCATTGGGTAATTTCACGACGAGCCACGGCAAGATTGACTCTGCTTGTAAATAAACTAATTAAATAAAATTAGTTGTAATGTAATTTTAAGAACAGATTGAATTGTGTTGCGAGCCTGTAAACGTAAAAACAACACTGTAAATAACATTGTAAAGTCAAAAGTGAATATTAGAGAACTACCCTGAGTGCGTGATGGTTTTGTCTTCTTAATTAATGGAATACACATTAAAATAATTGCCAGTACAAACCACGCCTTCGCCGCAAAGAGTAGCGAGGCTTTTTCCACGATTACGAACTGAGCGAACGAGCTCAAGCCCTCGCAGATTCATTTTCCACGATAAAATTGTAGATAACATTACAACGTAGTAGTTACATCGTGACAAAATTTACATTGCAAAACATCGCCGATTCTACAACAAAAATGTTTATTCCGCTCGAAGTTCGTTATTATTTCGACTGTTTCCGGCAAGTTTTGCGATTTTTAAACCTTGAAAGTGTTGTACAATTGCGTGAAAAAATATACTCGTATCTTTTACCGTTTATATTTTTCCAATAAACGTGAAAACAAATATTTATTTATTAGTAAAAAAATTATTCGCAGGTTTAAAACTCATCTCTAGGCCAGAATTGCGTGCATTTAAACAGATGATACAATATACATATGTCTGATTGTACATATAACGTCCTTTCCACTGCTACGGCAACCTGTAACCCCTCTATTGATCTAATCCTCCTAATTCTAATCTAATTTATTGATATAATTTTTCGCGTTATGTTTATGACATTTTCTTTTCTTTACATTACACTAAACAAAACAATAAATGTTAATGGCAATATGTAAAAAATGTTTTTGTTTTAGTTGATTCGATTGTATTACTTTGCATTTCTGCCGAAGAAACTACATTTATTGTAATAACCTTTACAATTGAAAATTTAAATTTTTACCAACTTAGTGTAAACTTTTTTTAAAAAAGAAGGTAAAAAAGACGCCAAGTATAAGCACTTCCAATCAAGAATTATTTCAATATTTTTAAGGTGATATCACAAATTTTGTAGTTAAATATTTCATAATATTTGTTATAACCCTAACTTTTAACAGCACATGATATTTCGTACATCCATAGAATGTGAAAATATATGTGTATGTATGTATGTACGTATACATGTATATGATCTGATAATAATTTTGATTTAAGTAAAATAACTCCAGAATTCTATTAGAAGTTACAAAAAGTCAAGCGGGCATATATAAAATTATTTTTAAACTTAACGAACTTATTTTTATAGCATAATCATAAAAGATCCGTATAATTACAATGTAATTGTAAATAGTATATAAAAAGCGAAATTGATGTATGTACTTATAATAACCCATACAACACAAAAGCTTGCAACAACATTGCCGCCACATTGCAACATTGCATCTTGCAGTGTAATGGTACATAGATCTTGCAGAGACGTTATTTTACAATATTACTTTAGTAATGTTGTAGCAATATTATTTTAAAATATTGATACAATTATGTTTGTAATATGTATATTGTTTCCTCACATCACTTTTATAGTTTACTAGAAATGACAAAGCAATTTGTGGTTGGGCATTGTATATTTTTAAGAATTTGTGTACATGCAAAGAGAAGTAATTGTATGCGCAACGTCAATTTAAAACAAAAAGTAATTTTTCATTCACTGATACGACTCGGAACAGCAGAGTTTACATTGTTAACTAGGTATATATGTTAAACTGTAAAAATACAAATATGCATACGATTATTATAGACTAATCAGGTAAAATTGAAATTATTGTATTAGATATACTTTTTATTTTATATTTAAAAAAATAGGTATTTATTAAAATAATTATATAGAATACTAAAAAAGTATTTCTTTTAAATATAAACTCACTAAATTTTATACGCATAGTTTTGTCTCTACACTTATTCAAATCCTCGTTCGATTCGTTTCAATAAATAAAACGAAAACAGAGAACAGATGCTTTATTTTGCACAAGTAGCAAATAATATAAAAATGTTAAACACTCACCTTACGATTGCGCTGCCGTTGCCCGATGCCTCCGAAGCCTCCTCCTCATCTCAGATTTCCTTGTTGCACTCACACAGCACTCACTCGCGAAAATCATCAATCCGCGCGCGAAATTTCGGGCACTCCCGTACGCGATGTAAAATACCGCGAAACACACGAAATATTATTAATTTTATATTATTTATATATAATTTAATATTACTCAAACTAACAACTTGCATTTTTTATTCGGAAGAATGGATAAATCACTTTGGAATGGGCGATATAAAACGCAACACGAGCGTCGGAAGCATAATCTGCGGTGAAGAAGTAGTTATTAGTCCGCAACGAAACGATATTTTACAATCTTTGCCATTCAATTTAATCCTCGAAATAAATTATGTGAGCAAAATTTCCAGCGATCAATAGTTGTTATTAATTGCAACGGATTACACGAAATCGATAGATAATTAAAAGCGCGGTGCGTAAACGAGATATAACCGCGACAAAGTACCACGGTTTACATTCATATGTATATTTTAGATGAGTTAATCTCGTGAAATATCTATGTATACGTTAATAAAGTGCCGTCGCCTCAACATACAATTCGTTTCTCATTACAAGTTGTAAAAACTTAATAATTAATCGAGGAACGTTACTAATTGTTACTAATAGAGATGTGCAAATCAATAGCGTTTTATCCCCACATTTATCGCGATCGCGTTTTGGAAATTGATAACGCAAAAGTAATACGATGTACGGAGCGACTCTCGACACTGCCTGCCGGCACGACGTTCGGCGAGCGAGTGAGAGCGTGGCGACCTTCAAGTAAACATTGGCCCGCTTAACGTCGTACGATACCGCGCCGAGAGAAAAACAACAACGTACGTTGAGAGTTTGTTGTCCCGCCTACGAAATCGAAAATTCTATACTTAATATTATTAATCTGTGACAATACC